AATAGAATAGAATAGAATAGAATAGAATAGAATAGAATAGAATAGAAAATATGGAATGGAATGGAATGGAATATGGAATGGAATTCTTTATTGGCCAAGTGTGATTGGACACACAAGGAATTTAGTTTAGTTTACTGTATTGTCATCGCACCTCGTACAACAAAATTAAATACCATCTTCAGTGTACAATTTATAACTATGAAAATAAACACAAACACACACACACACACCCCAATTTGTCTTCAGTGCAGAAGCCGTCAGTGTACATAAAGAATAAAGGCGCCTCACCCGCCAGGCCGGACAAGACGGCGCCGGCCCTGCTTTTCAGCGCTGCCCGGTAGAGCTCGTCCTTCTGGGCCGAGCGGACCAGGCGAGCCGGTCCGGCTTCCAGCGGCATCGCGAAATGAAAAAAGCGGCCCGACGCCTCTCGGCTTCTGTCATCGTCGCAGAATTCAAACGTCATCCGCTGTCGGCGCGGCCCTTGACGTCAGAAACGGTTTTCCTTTGTAGAGTGACGAAAGTAGAGAGGTGCTCAGAGACATGACTTCCGGGTGTAGGAAACAATTTCATTCTATGAACAAAAGAATGTCGGTTTTTGCGTTCTTCTAATGCAGATCAACTGCAGAGCTTTCTATTAGAAAATTAATTGATTGATTATGCCCCATCAAACCGGTGTCGGCTTATTACGACCCCATAGATAGATGCATTCCGAAAGATGCCCTCTAAATTCGAATACTTGGGCCTCGCATTCAAATGACTTCAACCACTGCCTTCCGAAAGCTTTAAGCTATATATAATCTTCAAATTATGCAGACCATTATACAAATCCCAGCGCGAAAACTCTGCGGTGGTAACAAAACAATATTCTCCGAGTGACCTCGGAACGTGATTATGTAAAGTCTCCTATCTATTAAATTTCGTACTTCTATGGTGCTGAGTGACGTAATCAGAACGCGCAGCCATCGCTTTTTTTAAAAAAGAGCGCCCTCTTCGGGGTAACTCACGAAATGATTCCCTTAATAGCTTGGCCGCCGTGACCACCGCGAGGCGCCTGCGCAGTCGCCTCGCGGTCGCCTCATTGCCATGGCAACCTGAAAATTTCCCGCCAATTGAGAGCCCATGCGAGGCGAAGGAGGTGTGACTTTGGTCAATGTGAATGAAATAAAATTAGAAAGGAAGGAAATTTAAGAGCAACAAGGTGGTGAAGTTTCACCAGCACTGCAAAAATATATGCTGTCCTTTCCCCGCCAAATTCTTACTTATTGAAGTGTTTTATTTTAAGTGTTTATTCATTTAAGGCCTGCAAAAAAATGGCTGCCGAGGGGGGCCCTTGCCATTTTCACCCCTGTTTTGGGTAACTAGGAAGAAGCAGGTGGAAGCAGAAGGGCTTTTATCTCCTTTCCCTGGAGCTTGGCTTGTGGAAGGCTTTAAATTGGGTTAACTAACCCTGGTTAGTTGGAATGCAGGCTTGTTGAACGGTGCTTATCTGGGCTTTAGGGCCTCGGGAAACCTGCAAAATGAGGTTAGTTGGGTCAGTTGGAGAGCCAGTTTGGTGTAAGGGCTAGTTTAGGAATAGGGAGGCTTGGATTCGAGTTCAACCACATCTATGGAAGGTCATAAAAAAGAGAATTTCCGTGGAGGTGCATTATTGCTCTCTGGAAGTTATGCTGACTTCATGGGGTCCTTGTGGGGGCTAAAACCCCCATGGAAGCTACCTTGAGCTCAAATACTTATTTGCATTTCATGTTTTCCTTGCCTTTATTACTATTATTATTTAATTATTAATTAATTAATTAATGGCTGATTAGGTCATGCAGGTAATCCTCATTCGTTTAGTGACCGAAGGTTACAACGGCACTCGAAAAAGTGACTTGCGTATGAAAACTGGTCATGAGTCACTTTTTTCAGCGCCGCTATAACTTTGAAACGGTCTCTAAATGAACTTTTGTAAGTCGAGGACTTCCTGTACAAAACAGTTTACAGGAACCTATTTATATTCCCCCCCCCGCCCCGAATTAATTGCACAACTGAGCGCCTCTCGCCTTTTCACAATAATAATTTTCTTTTTCTCATCTCAGCATAATTAAGCCTACACAGTGATGGAACAGGAACGCAACTATCAGCAGCAGGAGGAAGAAACAAACCCCCCAAAATAACAAAAGCACATCTTTGATTGCCCTGAGATACGGAGCAAGGTGAACGCCCGAGGAGCAACCTGTTCTATGCCAAATTTGGGGTAAGATTTCTGCTTGGGGTATTTTACGAAAAGCCCATGCCGGCTTGGAGATTGAATTTGGACATTTCCGGAGGATTTGCCCTTACCAGGTCTGAGGGCAAGAAGCTGGCAGTCACTAGATGGCAGCAAAGATTTTTAGAACCACATTCTTTATTGCAGCCTATCCCCCTTCTAGCATTTATTGCAAATAGAACATAGAACAATAGGGTTGGAAGGGATATGGAGGTCTTCTAGTCCAACCCCTGCTCAAGCAGGAGACTCAATGACCATTCCAAAAAAATGGCTTTCCAATCTCTTCTTGAAAACATCCAGGGATGGAGCACCCACAATTTCTGGTAGCAAGAAGTTCCACGGATTATTCAGGAGATTTCTCTTTACTTACTAGACTAGATTTGGTTTTGGGTCTTTAATGATTTTCCACCCATTACTTCTTGTCCTGCCTTTAGGTGCTTTTTAAACGAGGTTGACCCCAGTCTACCCTGTGAGACAGTCCCTCAAATAGCAGAGGCAGCTGTCGTGCCTCCCCAAGCCTTCGCTTCCTTAGACTAGACATACCTGAATTGTTCATCATAAAGTTTAGCAGAAACATTGGATACTTAGCTGACAACAATGCAGCATTTGAATGGGCTTCCAGATCCGCAAGTTGTATTCTTTCTACATTTATCCATAAGTACATTAGATAACCAAGGGAATCTTAGGCATCCTTGTCTGACAAATAATCTCTGCCTTACAAATATTCTTTGAACAAACTTTCGTCGTTAAACCCTGAAAAAAGTGACGGAAGTGTCAGTCCTCACACTTATAACCATGGCAGCATCCCCACTGCCATGTAATCAGAATTAAGGGGCTTGTATTTTATGATGCCATCCCGGGGTCACGTGATTACCATTTGCGACCTTCCTAGCGTCAACTATAAAATATTTCTTTGGGCTTTTTAGTTGCCGGAAGAAAGGGAATTGGGGGGAAAGTAGAGCATTCCTTAAATGCTTCAGATAATTGCTAGGCAGCCAAAGCTGGTGGCACGCGTGATTATTACTTGGAGAGCATGATCGATGACTCTTGGCTATGGATGTGTCCCATTGGAGAATATACATCCAGGGGGAGGGGGGAGGAAGACCAGGGGGGAAATGAATGGTGTGTCTTAAGAGTCGGCTTCACGCCGGTAGCACCAGCATGTCCACTCCTAATAAATCTTTTTTTCTTTTACTTTGAGAGACGCAGCTGGAGACTTAGGATTTGAATGGGGGGGTGTACTGTTGGGAGTCTCGACACCTAGCTAGCTTTGGACAACCAAAGTCAGTGAGGGAAGCCCGATTCGGTTAACGGCAATGCGATTCAACTTAACAACTGCAGTGATTTGGCAAAATGAAGTAGTAAAATCAGGCCTGTCTCACTTAAGAATTGCTTATCGAATCCTGGTCTCAACGGTGCCCATAAATCAAGGGCTATCGATACTCCCTTGCCAGTGCTGAATTATTCCCCAAGCCTTCCATTTATTTTTCATGCATGATTATGCATTTTTCTCCTCCTGATTTAGAGATTTGGAGCTTTTTTTTTTTTTAAATGGAAGTCAGATTTCTTGAATGGACAGAAGTGACGGTCTGCAGAATTTCTGACTTCTGACTCCCTACCTGTCTCAGAAAGTTACTATTTTTCCTTTTGGGGGGGGTAGGTTAGTTAATGCTGCGGGTTCCTTCCCAAGTCTGGATTAATTATCCTTCCCAGCTGATTCACAGTTCGCCGTCATGTTCTCCTCCTCCATTCTTCTACCTTTTTATTCAGCGAGAGCGAAAGGGGCGAAGGGAAAAAAAAAAGAAGAAGAAGCAAGCTGTTAAATCACTCTCACATACGAGATGAGTAATTTGACCCTAGGAGGTTTGTGAAGCAATCCGGGGAAAGTTGCAGAAATCGGAAGGGCCCCGCTTAAGCGTTTAAAAGCGGCCCGTCCTTAGCATTCCTGGCTGAAGGGCAAAATGGAATCGTGCCAAGCGAAAATCGTTTCAGGCCAGGTAGCCGAGGCTGGCTCGCTTCAGCTCCCTAAGACCTCCAAGTGCATGTCCATAGAATCAGAACGCAAGGAACACTTGACAAAGGAGAAAAACCCCTACCGGGCACAACTTGTTCCTTAAGCTGAGGAAAGAATAGGCCAAATTACAGGGCTGCTCTCGGCAAATAGACTTGCTAAGTGCTCTCAGGCTTCGGATAGGATTCCTTTATGTTTTAGGCTGCGGTCCTCAGCATGTTTATTAGATGGAAATTAAGTCCCAGTGAATGGAGTGGTGTTTTTTTTTCTGTTTTTTTTCTTTTTACCCCCTCTCCTCTCCTCTCCTCTCATAAAATGCCAAAGGATTTTATTCAGCCTCACATAAAAGTGAGAAGTCCAACGGGGGATACAAGGCAAAGCGCTTGCATTGACAAAGCTCGTGTCACTGGGGGGGGGGGGGGGAGGGGTTGCCAGATAATTAAGCATGGAACAAGGTTGCTGGGAGGGTTTTTCCATTAGGGCCACGATGTGGCGGTTAGAATTTGCACTCAGGGGGGCTTCTTTGCTACCTTCTCAGAAACTCAGCGCTTTATCCAGGGGGCAATTCAAGCCAGCGGCATCTCCTGCCAGCTCATCACCCTCGTTTCACGACCCCATCGTCCCTGGCGGGGTGCAGTCTGGGCAACTGTACTGGAGCTAGTACGGAGCTCCATTTTAATGGCCGGATGCCCTTCCTGTCGCCAGTACAGAGCTTGGTTCAGCAGATATATATTCTCATTGTGCCCAGAGAGAGGAATACCTGTCTCTACCTAGGATTGAACTCACAGCTTCCTGATTGTGAGGTGAGAGCTCCACCTCTAGGCCACTGCGCCACTCTAATGTCATCTCCTGGTATGTAATTCTCCCAATGTAGAAAAATACAAAAACATGGATGGAATAAAGAATCTTCCTGCAGGAGAACTTATACCATCCCAGACAGAGAGTTGAATAGAATAGAATAGAATAGAATAGAATAGAATAGAATAGAATAGAATAGAATAGAATAGTTGGAAGGGACTTTGGAGGTCTTCTAGTCCAACCCCCTGCTTAGGCAGGAAACCTTACACCACTTCAAACAAATGGTTATCCAACATCTTTTTAACAACTTCCAGTGTTGGAGCATTCACACCTTCTGGTGGCAAGTTGTTCCACTGGTCCATTGTTCTCGCTGTCAGGAAATTCCTCCTTAGTTCTAAG